CACAGGAAGCCAGTGTACAGACTTCAGAAAAGGGGTGATGTGATCCACTTTCTTAGTGTTAGTGAGGACTCGAGCAGCGGCGTTCTAAATTAGCTGCAGCTTCCTAATAGATTTTTTAGTGAGACCTGTGAAGACACCATTACAGTAGTCGAGTCTACTGAAGATAAAAGCATGGACAAGTTTTTCCAAATCCTGCTGTGACATTAGTCTTTTAATCCTAGATATATTCTTTAGGTGATAGTAGGCTGATTTAGTAACTGTTTTAATGTGACTGTTGAAACTCAGGTCAGAGTCCATGACTACACCTAGATTTCTGGCTTTATCTGTTGTTTTGAACATTGCACACTGAAGCTCAGCGCTAACTTTTATACGTTCTGCCTTGGCTCCAAAAACCATTACCTCAGTTTTATCTTTGTTTAATTGGAGAAAGTTCTGACACATCCAGTCATTGATTTGTTCAATGCACTTACTCAGTGTTTGAATTGGAGCATAGTCTCCTGGTGAAATTGTTACGTAAATTTGTGTGTCATCCGCATAGCTATGGTAACTTATTTAGTTGCTTTGTTGAAAGCAAACTTGATACCTTTACATTGTTATACTTTCTTTCTGCCATGTTGTCATTATTGGAATGCCTGTTAAGTGACTTAATTCAAGTTGAACACCGCTGCTGTTCTGTGGAAAACCCAAACGTTTGACTTTCAGCAGCCGCCTTTCAAGCCTACAGGGAATAAGTATTTCATACAAAATACTCCAGTCTAATATCACTTTAATTGTCTTGTGATTTTAAAAGGAAGAGTAAAAGGGCAGAGTTACTTGTATGCCATAGAGGCAGAGGGTACCTTTTAGAAACACGTGTGGGATATATACGCTGTATTTATTTTGAGGGAGTCACATTGTCTTTGCTTTTGAGCTAACGTTTTACTATATTTTTACGTAACCTTTTTGCAGGCCTCCCCATGTTGGCTGCGGCTGCAGGGCAACAATAGAGAGAAGGGGCAGGCACACAACACCTGCCAGTCTTAATGGTAAACATATGTCGAGAAATTCAGAGAGATTGAGCAGGAGGTAGGGGGGAGAGGGCAAGCACACTCCTTAAAGAGGCTCTAAAGAGGCAGTGTGTTGGCTGTGTTTCTTTCGTGCGTGCGTGCTGTGTGTCTGTGTGTGCAAATGTGCCGCTGCCTGCAGAACTGTCCCCATGTCTGTGTGGGCTCATGGCGGGATGCATGCTTAAAGTCAGGGTCTGTGGATCATCACTTGGGGGTCTCACTGAAACAAAAGAGAGCCAGATAGCAACACCAGCCAAATATGGTAAAGGATGGTAGAGCAGCGTTATCATATATTCTGGCAGCATCCCACCGGGTCATTTTGACCAGTTCAGCCCTCCAGAGTTTGTCACCTACATGCAACTTACGTCTGTGTGTCTGAGTCACATTAACACACACATGTCAACACACACAGGATGCATGTGTGGGCGTTCTGCTTGGTGCTCAAAGTGATCATCACAAATGTTACACGACCAGCCTTGTTCTTTGACACAAGTACATGTGTGGGTTTGTGTGTGTTTAATCCACCTAGAACTTCCATGCACAGCCATACATTGCTGCTATGTGTACATAGTCTGCGTGTATAAGCTCATTGTACGCTTGAGGGGTCTCCCCCTCTCTCCCACAGAGCTCAGCTGAGAACTACACGTCATGTCTGCCACCTTCTCTCCGGCCACAATGCTGCCCATTATGAACAGACAGGGTTCAGTGACCAGAGAGTGGGCTCCAGCTAGAAGAAGGCCCAGACCCAACTGCTACAGACCCCCCCTTACTTTTCATTTTGGCCCTTATAGACTGTTTCTGAATGTCTGCTTACTCTTTTGTTTCGCTGTCTATTACCTATATCTCTCTGCACACATTTGAAATAACCTTTCAGCCTTGTCCAGTAGCTTTCTCCGTATACAGTAGAGCTCCGCCCCTTTTATCTGCTTCAAAACCAGTTGCTGAATCAACCTCCACTGATTGAATAGCCCCCCCCCTGCCGCTCTCTCCTTTTGCTTTCGCCTACATTTCTCCTGTCTTAGTAATAGTGTATTATCAACCCAACCACCCATTTTTCCCCAGCATCAAACCTTCTCCAACACTAGTTTGGATTAGTGTAAAAAATAAACAAATGATACAATACTGTATTGTTTCATTTAGAAATGATACAATACAGGTGTTGTGATTGATCAGAATTTATATTTATGTTACAACAAAAGTTAGTTATTTGGTCTCAATGCAATCTTTAATTGTGTTTGTGCAACTCAAAAAAAAAAGTATTATAGAGTTAAATGTTTAAAATGTTCAACCCACCGAGGGTACGCAAAGTAACTACATTGTGCCAGTCCTACGTTTACATTTTCGATGTTTCTTTTTGTTTTCTTTCTTTTCTCTTTGAAGAACTTCTTGATGCACTTTTTCTCCTTTCGTGTTAGGCAGCCAGCTTTCAGAACCTCTAACCTCAAGTAGCTCATGGAGGGGAGAGACGCAGAGATTTTGTATCTGCAAGCTTTTCTTGAAAAGGAAATTCAGTAATCCCACTGTGTCCTAAACTCAGACATCGACTGACAACTCTTGACAGGCCATGGGATCAATTCAATTGAACGAATTAAATTATTTGACACACATGCACACCTTCAAAACAGACATTGGACACTCACCAGAGGGGGTAAAAACGTTCATTTTTCCTGTCGTCTTGCACACACATGAATTCCTCTGATGTGCAAACACTATCTTCATCTCATCTCTTAGACACACATACACAGAGTTTCTGTGTGCACAAATGAAAAGACACCCCCCCCCCCTTCCCACATATCACATACACACACACACACCCATTCTCACTTGCTGGCTTGCCGGCTGGCTCTAGAATGAGTCAAATGGCTCAATGTGTTAAAAGCATTAGGTAAGCATGAATCCAGCAGTGCTCCTTGGGCTGATATCATATGTCCTGCTTCATTACAGTCTGGTGTATACATTCAGCTGCATCTCTCCATCTATCTATCCCTCTCTCCTTCATCCCCCTCTCCTGTCCCCTCGGGGTGCCTTAACACGGAGCGAGTCATCTCAAGACTTTAGCTGAAAAAAAGACTAGATATCTCAGATTAAGAAAAGCTGAATCCTTTTGAGGGAAACAAAGGTAAATAGAAATTAATCTGTTTCTTGTCCACATAGCTGTACTGGCCTAATTTTACCCTCCAACTATTTAAGTTCCTGATATGACTTTAACTGCTGGGAGGGTGCTGACCAAAACCATCTGAATGGCGTGGGCATAAGGAAGACAAACAGACAGACCAGGAAGAGGGATCCAAGCAGCGGCATGTAACCTGCAGCTTGCCGACTGTTACCTCACACCACAGCTCACATCTTGCAGCTGCATGTGTATGAGGCAGCGAACAAAGTCCACCACGGCACTTGGCCTGCTGCACCACACTTGCCCCTCAATCGCAGGCAGCTCTAGGCTAACCTTAGCACTTTTCTCCCTTCGTAAGCAGTTTGCAGTGTGAATGCATGTATTTGTGTGCAAGATCACAGCTGACTCAGATCAGTCAGCCACTTGGGTTTTAAGCAAGAGTGAGGTCAGAGGGCCGGCTGTCAGATGTTGATGGGTCTGTTTGTTGGAGATGGATCTTTTGTGAGACAGTCAGCAGTATTCAAGATATAACAGAAATATTCCAGGTGTGCACAGTGGAACACAGTAAATGATATTTGGAGGAGATCAACAAATATGAAGTGTACCACACTCTGCTTTTTGGAAAACGTTAAACTGCTGGTGGATCGAGACTGTCTCAACTGATTTGTGTTGGATCAAACTGCATGAATGTTGTTGCACCTCATTCCTGCATGGGGTCATGTGTGAATAGCAGCAGGGATAATTTTTTCGGGAAATTCGTACAGTCAAGTTCCCGAATCAAGAAAAAAGACAAAAGCCAGTACAGCTGTGTTGTGAATGAAAGCAGTTACATTGCAGGGACAAACGAATAAAGGTCGTCCAACTGACACGAAAACTGATTGCAGATCATATTTTAATATGTGATATGCTTACTATTTCAAATGTACGCTAATATTTAGCAGATGGTTATTTCGTCACACAGTTATTTCTTTAGCCAAACATACCTTTTTTTCAGAAAAATGTAATGTTCTGCTGTGTGCATGTCTGCAGAGACTTGTCCTAGCGTCTTCTTCTTCTGCTGATTTTTCTGACAGTTTGCATCCATAAGTGTTGCATTATCGCCATCTGCTGGACCATCTATTTCATCTTTCCCATGGCTTGTGTGAAAAAGGCCCAGGACTGCTACATTTAGAGCATCTGTGAATATTGATAAATTCTAGCTGTGCCTGAGAGTTTATGCCAGTAGTTTACGGGCTACTATGAGTAAAATACACTTTAGATGTGCATATCCCTTAGATGTGTCTTTCACAATCTAACAGTCATCAACAGAGCAGAGTCTTGCTGACACAGCAGAACCTACATGGAGAAAAGCAACTCCTTTTGGAACTTTGAGTCCCCTCCCCAAAGCTCTATCTCTCTCAAGCATTTTCTTATAAAGAGAAGGGAGAGGTCTTGTTAATCAGCGTTTGGCTTCAGTTTGGGGGCTCGTAAACCCTCACGCTCCTTCCCTGTATCCCTGCCCCCCCCGTGTATGTAATAAATGAGGATAGCAGAGTATATGTTTACGAGCGCGAGTGCTGGACTTGGCAGGCCCGAGCGCTACTTCAGTGTCTCACAGTTCATCACAGCTCAGTGACTGACTGACTGGGCCTCTGTCTTCCTTGCAGAGTTTACATTATATGCATATGCACTCACTCATACTTGACGCCTGACACACCGCTTCTCTTCTCCAAAAATCCTCATTGTTTCCAGTTACTAAGCTGCCCCGCAGGTAATCATTACAATTGTAAATAAATATCCATAGCCATTAACTATATTGCTCTCTATCTCCCACCTATTCCTTTCTCTCCCCCTCCCTCCAGTGGTCCTATGCATTGGAGAAGCCCAACACAGGCAGTGTGTTCAGCTTGGCCTGGTCTGCAGACGGCACCCAGCTGGCCGGGGCCTGCGGCAACGGGCATGTCATCTTTGCCCATGTGGTGGAGCAGCATTGGGAGTGGAAGAATTTTGTGATCACCCTGACAAAGAGGAGAACCATGCAGGTATACAATGAGCCATCCACATTTCTGCTTCAAACTAAATAGTAAATTGTCTTTAGTGACTCCTGCTATTGGTAAGTTTAGATGTATCCTAGGAAACAGAAGAAATGGTAAAATACTGATATAATACATACTAATGAAATAAACAGAAAGGAGAGAAATACAAGTTTAAGTAAATCTCAGCTTAACAAGTGGCACAGTTTTATGCATTTACAAAAGAGTCATGCTGGAACAATTAAAAGAGAGTTGTTGTTTAACATGTTAAAGCTGCCTATGAGGGTTTTTCAACAAATGAATACCAGCATGTCTGTGGGAAAAGATAAAGGATTCTCAAACATTACCAGAGTTCTTTCAACATAACAAGAGAGAATTGAAAGCACTGTGAGGCCAGGCAGAGTGAGTGAACATGCCATGTAGAGAACCCAAATGCTTCCTAGATTTTGACTCGTTGTGGCTGTATATTGAAGTAGGACCCTCCCAGTGTGCAGCGCTGCGATGACAATGACCAGCCTGTCTAGCTGCCTCTCTCACTCCACCGTTCTCTACTGTTTAAACCAATGCTAACCTCAAGGTAGCGTTTACATGTGGTTAACACACCCGAATGTGCATATATACACACTTGGATGATTTTCAGACAGGTATACACAAGCACACCTACTGAAGCAAGGACACACACTTGCTGTGTATGGTTGCCTACATACATGTGCACTAATTTGCCATAGACCTTTTTTACCAAGTGCAGTGTGTGTAAACTAAACAAAGTTTGTTCATCAGCTGTTTATTTTCAGCGTTGCAGGCGCTTTTCTGTCTCCCTCCTCCCCCTCTTCTCCTCGTAGTCCTTAAAGTTTACATCTGCCAGTGGTTATCAGCCAGCTAAATTTACCACCTTGCGGTCAAATGTTTTTTTATTCCTGGTTGTGTTGCATTTAAATGTGGCTTGCTGGAAGGAGCAGAGGAGGAAGATTTGTAAAGCTGTAAAAATAACCCCACCTTTCACCTGGTGCTGGAAAAGGCCTTTTCATTCATTCACAGAGATGGCCGGAGGGAAGTATTTATCTATGCAGGTGAAAAAAAAGAGTACTGACCACTGTATGCACACACCTCAAACAGTACAAACTGCTTTCATCTGACCACATGCCCTGCGTAAGCTACGACATACTAGACTGTTTCCTGTATAAATAAAGAATTAATACACTCCATTCAGTTAGTGAAGCCAGTTTGTTGCATGTTCAGATTTTAAGTGTTTGTTTAGAGAAAAATGTAAAAGTGTACGCCTCTTCTGTAATTTGTCAGATGTATTAATTTGTACTCTTGTACAGAACTCTTTTTTTTTACTGAACGTTTTGCCCTCTCTCTTTCCTTTTGCTTCTGTTTCCCTCAGGTGAGGAATGTGATGAACGATGCGGTGGATGTGCTTGAGTTTCGGGATCGAGTCATCAAAACTTCTCTTGCATACGGTCACCTGGTGGTGGCCACTTCCCTCCAGTGCTATGTCTACAAGTCAGTAGCATACTACTTCTCCTTTTCACCTGAAGCTCTCCTGTTGAAAATTCTTATGTCTGATTTTAGATTTTCCATCACACACCAGATATTTGGGAATCTATTGACCAAATCTTGTTGATTTCCTGCAAATGTAACCGAAATATACTAAGATTCCACACCATGTACTACAGCTTGATAAGCTTCCACATTTTAAACTTCAAATGTGGTTAAATAATTTAAAAAACACGGGAAAACTAAGAAGTCTTGATGGGGAACAAAACAACAACCACATCACTAAAGTGTGTCTTCATGGGTAATGTTATCAGACTTCTGTGTATGTTTTTGCAGGTTCATTTGAGTTGTCTTTTTACGTTTAAACATAAGGGATATGGTAGCATTAAGAACACAGACAGCCCCTGCCCTTTTTTTCTAATTAATCTTTATTTGTCATTTTTGTCCGTTCTTTTCTATCGCTGCACTCTTCATGCTTTATAACATTTCCTTTGTTGAGTTGTCTTTCATTCTTATCTTTTACTTTCTTTACCTGGTCATGTTTCTGTGGCCTTTCCGCCTCTGCACGTATGCCAGATGTAGAACTTTAATCTTAGAAGTACGTTTTTACAGATTTTCACGTGTGCCGTTTGTTCTGTGTATTTCTGCCAGCTCCAGAAACTGGAACACTCCGCTCATCTTTGACCTGAAGGAGGGAACAGTGAGCCTCATCCTGCAAGCAGAGAAGTGAGTGTCTCGATTCCAGGAGCCGAGCAACAAGAGGGGGAACAGACTGTTGGATCGTCTAACAGCTTCTCTAATGCTTCATTGCTTCACATTGACTTCACTCATCAAGCACACACACACACACACACACACACACACACACACACACACACACACACACACACACACACACACCGGGTCTGTGCTCTCGATTAGCCAGCCATGTCAAACAATAAGGCTGGGAGTGAAACCACTGGGGGAAATGAGATGAATATGGAGTAGCTCTTGTGCAATACTCCAGTGCTAGGTCCCTGACACTCAGCATAGAGCTAAACAGATTACTGGCCATTCTGAATTCACAGTTGAGTTACATGAGTCTTGCTGAGTCAAGTCAGTCAATGCTTTGTTAATGTGCATAACATGTCTCCATTACCTGCTTGTGAAAGTCTATTAGCTGTTATAGACTCTTGACTCTTTCATTCATCATATCTCCTTACAGGACACCCTTCTTCCCTGCTAATGCCATCCCACATATAAAGTGATATATTGATATATACAGTACACTTACTTTGCTCTCATCTTCTGTATCCTCCGGTCTCCTACACCCAGGCATCTTCTGCTAGTGGATGGAGCAGGCTTGTATGTATTTTCCTATGAGGGTCGATTAATATCATCCCCCAAGTTCCCTGGTATGAGAGCTGACATCCTAAACGCCCAGGGTGTTTCACTGAGTCACGACACAATCGGCATCAGAGACAAGAGTGATGAAAAAGGTGAGGGAAGAACCTCTGTCACCGTTATGATTCCACACAGTCCTGTACTTTGCTTTAACAATGTTCTCCTTTCCTTTTGACTCACCAGTCATTCTTCTCTTTGACGCTCTGAGCGGGAAAGCCCTTGGCGATGGCAAGCCTCTGACTCACAAGGTGGGGAATCCTTTGCCCATATATTACACTTTATGTTATGTTTTTTTTAACTCGCTGTCTACACTGAATGTGCCCCATTATGTCAGTTAATTTTCTGTCTGTGATCAAGTTTCGCCTGGATTCATACCTTACCAGTTCCGTCATTCAACATAAAGAATGAAGGATTGACAATGCTGGAAGAAAATAGGGGCACAACCCCAGGATCAGCTGGTCATGTTACTGTTATCAATCTCACTGGGGATATCTGAATGGTTTGGCATTGTGTTTTATGTGTTACAATGAGTGAAAACGATAGCATGGCATGACAGAAGCAGATTGTTGCCAGTCAAGATATTTCTACATGCATACTGGAGACTCATTTGGTTAGTTACACGACACAAAGCCCAGTTAGCTATGACTCATTATTGTGTGACAAGCTAATTATTTCAAATGTTATAATCAATACATAATTATTATATGTTGCACAGTTGGGTGAATGCGAGGATTTATTATAAGTTTGGCAATCAGATTCATCACACCAAATATCAAGTAGTTTGTAAAGAATATAAGTATTAATAACTTGTGCCATGAAACTGATACGTTTGCACAGCAACTGCAACACAGACACAGTAAACCAGTTGGAGCAGAATTACATTTTGCACCAGATGTTTTTTTGTGTCACTCTCTGCAGTAGATGTGGTGTTGTAAAGACAAATGAACCCTTGAAAAATGTAGGCCTGCGTTCACTAGGTTTGAGAAATTGTAAGTAGTACAATTTGTATATTGATGTAGCCATCATTAGCATTTACCCCTACATCTTGTAGTTTAATACTTGCCAGACCCAACCTGTACTTTGAGATTGAAGTTGTTCTTTCTTTTCTTTCTTTTCCAACTGTTGATGATGCTGACTTTTTGCCCTCAACCTTAAAGCTTTAGCTAAAGGTAGTGACCATTTATTCTTTTAGCCCTGATCATTTAACAAGCCACATTTCATCCAACTAGATATGGCTGAGTATAAGCAGTATTTTCAGAGTGAGTGTCTGTGCTTTAAAGTATACTAACCCATATTCAGAAGGGAGAGAGACAAGAAAGACACAGTAAGAGAATGGGGGAAGGGTTTTGGATTCAAACTGAGAGGGAAATAGACAAAAAAAGAATTAGAAGAGAAGGAAAGGAAAAGAAGTGGAGGTAGCAGTAGTTACTGTTTGTCAGCGTGGCTTTGTCTGCCAGAAGTTCCACAGCTCCAAGACACAGCTCCGAGGCCAGCTGGCTCTGACCAAACACACACACACTCTCACTCCTTCCCTCTCATTCTGATACACACACGCTCACACACGTTGCAGAAGGGCTGTTGAAGGGCCCCTTTCCCTTCTCCTGATCTTTTGTTGTCCCTTCATCATTCACTCCCTCTTACCTTTGTGCTTGTGTGTGTCTTTATTGATATGCAGCTGGAGGTGGTGGAGATAGCTCTGGACCAGAGTGGCCCATCCAATGAAAGGAAGATCGCCCTTATAGACAAGAACCGTGACCTTTACGTGACCTCTGTGCGTCATCTTGGGCGAGAAACCAAAATCTGCAAACTTGGTGAGACGAGGAAGAGGAAACTAATGTGGCAAATGTGTAGGGACTCTTTGTTTCTACCCACAAGTGCTGCTAACACTGGATAAACATGTTGTGTGTGCTCTGTCCTGTAGGCAGCATGGTGCACAGCATGGCATGGAACGATGCTGCTAACATCCTGTGTGGTATCCAGGACAACCAGTTGACAGTGTGGTACTACCCGAGTGTTGTCTTCACTGACAAGGAACTGCTGCCAACAACTCTACTCATAAAGGACGGCAGGTAGACATCCCTATCTCTCACTTATGTACTGGATTTTAACCAAAAACGGCCGACACTTTTCACCAGAGAGTAAAATGTGTCACAAAATAGCTACTAAGAAGAGAGAGAGAAGCAGCTTTCTTGCACCGCCCACCTTATTCCACAAAGTACAACACATTCTGATTCAGGTAATTTTTTTCCAGCAGCTTCAACCATTACGGGAGGTGCTAAAGCCTGCCTGCACTACTTCTCTGCTACATTACGCTGAACCTTTGGTTGCACAGTTTTGTTTTCATTTATGCTTTGCGCCAATCCAGTGGTTGAAGTAGTTGCTTATGTTCACACAACCTCAATTTGATTTGATGTTTTTCAGTTTATTTTTTCAACATTTTACTTTTGGTGTTCTACAGGCCGACTTTATCGTGGCAGTCATTAAGATTGTTTTCATGTTATGAACAAATGGGGAACACCAGATATCAAGTGGGCTAATAAATAAATACGAAGTCTCCACTTCAAGGAATGCGTCTAGGTTTTTAGGATATCTGAGATTGAAGGGAGTTTGGACCAAGCACAGTGCAAGTTACAAAAGCAGCACTGTCAGTATGTCAAATAATCAGAACAGCACAATTGTATATGTGGTGGGCTGCCACAAATTGCACTCTCTAACAGAAATTCTGACACACACGCATTCACACATATGGAAACTGGTCAAAAAGTTGTATTTTCACACTTATTCTTGGCAGAACTCATCATTCTCCTCATGATAAATGTTAACTTGTTTATAATATATTACATTAACCGGTGTGTTTTATTGAACAATCAGTCGTTTTCTCCAACATGATTATTCATACTTTTTTCTCACGCCTACTAACACTTCTTACAAGCAGGCAAACACTGGGAGTTTTCCTTGCTGTTTTTTTTCCGTTTGACAGCAAATCTCTGAGGATGTGGCTACATGGATTTGTTCTAACTTTGAAGTGTGCGTGTGTGTTTGTCCCTGTCAAAGTGAGTTCAGCCGTGCTCCCCACATTCTGAGCTATGTTGGCACCAAGGTGACGTTACGCCAAGGAGACGGATCACTGGTGTACAGCAATATACCGCCCTACCCAGCCCTCCTGCATGAATACAGCGCCTCCGCCCGCTGGGAGGATGCTCTGCGCCTCTGCCGCTTCGCAAAGGTAAGAAACAAACACAGTAAAATTCTCACGGCCAAAATAATTCAAAAACAAAGATCTTATATCCATAGCACATTTGAATAAAAAACAACAATATAATGCTGTCATTCAAATTCTCAAAATACTCAAAATCAAAAAGAGCTTACCAGTTTCTGTCACTTTGTCACTCACCTTAAGCTGTGCTCCCAACAGCACTCTGTTTACAAGGGAGTCTTTACCAATAAGAAATAATTAATGGTATACACATGTCAAACAATAAATGTAGTAAATTGGAACATAGGGAAACACTTTGAACAACGTTTTTCCAGGTCATTGTCCAGGTCAACGCTGTCACTCAAATTCATCTTTAACTTTGTTTATTTATGTTTTTCTCCCTTTTTTGGCAAAGAAGTTACACTTAGAATACAAGTGTATGTAGTCTGTACCCATAACTTAAACCTATGTCAAAAGCGTAAAACATTCTTTAGATTTTTTCACAATCTTACCATGTGTATTATTAAGATGATATTGTTTTATTTTTAAATATCATCTTCATCGTCAATGCTGGTGATGTGTGCTTATTGTCCCTGTGAAGAAATAGTTTTCTTACATCTTCTTTGTTTCTGTATACCCATTTGAAATGTCTCTTTAGATGGTAGATACCCAAACTCAAATAAGGTTAAGGTTAGTTTATTTATAAACCACATTTCAGACACAAAGGCAATTCAAAATGCTTTACATAAGCATTAACACATAATAAATACACACACACACACACACACACACACACACACACACACACACACACACACACACACACACACACACACACACGCACACACACACACATGTATGTATGAAAGAGAGTGAGACAGAGTCCGAAATGAGGAGGTAGTAGACAGGTTTATGGGCCCAGACCAGCAGGCTTTAATTAGCCTTCAATTAGCCTGGTGACACCATTTACCGGATTTAGCCCCCATAGACCTCACTCATAAATACACGCTTCACTATGAATGTGTGAACTCGCCACATGCACACACACACACACACACACACACACACACACACACACACACACACACACACACACATGCATGCGCTGTGTTGGACTGGGTCTTTGCTTTAGCGATGATGCAATAACCACAACCTCAGGAGAAATTGACTGCTAGTAGCAAGAGAAGGGCGGGACTAAAGGGACAGAGAGAGGCACCCCCCCCCCCCCCCCCCCCCCCCCCCCCCCCCCCTCCTTGACTTCTGGTAAGAGTTTGGTGGCAGCACAGCTTTTCCCAGAATCACAGTCATTGCCAGTAAGCCCTGAACTGATAGGAGTTGACACACGTAATAGTTTAGAGCCGTATACAAACAGACAGACGTGACATACACAAGATGACAAATCCGACACATGTACACCAACGAAAGATTTAGTGAAAGTTGTCAACTTTTTGCATGAAGTTTCTGACGTCAGGCCGTGGTTGACAGTGTTATGTGTTTGTTTTTCCAGGGGTGTTTTTTTTTTATTCAATCATTTGTCATAGTGATGGACAGTAATTAAAGGGAGGCTTACAGAGTGGTGACTCCAGTGTGAAGTTTGCTCAACTGTTGTTGGGCAATTGGTGGTTAAGGCTTCATTTGAATGGATGCAGCTGCCCGGAATAAAAGTGGTGACACATTTGTTTACCTTCATTGATGTTGTAAATGGCAGACATCTTTGTTTATGTCGGTTTTCTGTGTGTCATGCATGTTTTCCTAATGGCTTGGAGCATGACTACAATGAGGCCTGCCAAAAGGATATAATAGGGGCTATAAAGCAGAATCATAGACTACACACACACACACACACACATACACACACACACACACACATACACACACACACACACACACACACACACACACACACACACACACACACACACAGTAATACACAAACCTTTAACTATTTTTGAATCTGCTATCCCCATCATGTTTTGCATAGTATTGGTAATCATTGCTAGCTAGAAAATTATTTTGCATTTTAAAAAAAAACATTTAGCACACGGTCACAAGAGTTGTTAATATAATATATAGAGTCCAGCAAAAATAGCTAACCAGTTTCTTACCTTAAGCTGTGCTTCCAACACTCTGTTTACAAGGGAGTCTTTACCAATAAGAAATAATTAATGGTATACACATATGTCCAACAATAAATGTAGTAAATTGGAACATAGGGAAACACTTGGAACAATGTGTCTTCAGGTCATTCTCTCAGATGGTGAGATTTTCTGTTTTAAAGATGCTCACTACCTTTGCTCCCCCCACCTTTAGGATCAGTCATTGTGGGCGTGTCTTGCTGGAATGGCGATGGCCCACAGGGAGTTGACCACAGCGGAGATGGCTTATGCTGCCATCGGAGAGGTAAGCAAATTAGTTAATGGCTATATCAGTCTAACACGCCTTGTTTTTAACCAGGTTCTCAAACATAAGTACCCCAACCTCTCTTCTTTCAGCTACCTAGGGTGCAGTACATCAACTTTATAAAGGAGCAGCCATCTAAGGAGTCATCTTTGGCCCACATGCTGATGTTCAGTGGTCAGGTCCAGGAGGCGGAGGCCACACTGTTACAAGCTGGTCTCATCTACCAGGCCATACGAGTCAACATCGACCTTTTCAACTGGGAGAGGTACAGCTCAGGGATTTATGGAATCTGTGTGTGAAGGTATAGGTGTTAGGAGAGGGACATTTTAAGTCTTTAGGAGGATGCTTTTTCTTAGCCTCTTAAGGCTGTCTCTTCTATAGAAGGTTTAAGTGAGAGTTCGACCATGCAGGATGGTTGAATGTGTATCTTAGTCTTCTTTTCATCTTGTGTCCAGGGCACTGGAGCTGGCAGTGAAACACAAGACCCATGTTGACACGGTGCTGGCCTATAGAGGAAAGTTCCTACAGAAGTTTGGCAGGGAGGAGACCAACAAGAGATTCCTGCAGTACTCTGAAGGGGTAAGTAAGGACAGCACTGCACTGCATTAATTCATTAATCACACTGGAAGCCACTGTTACAGCTGTTCAAGTGTTATCAGCTTTTTGTACACTCTTTTAACTCTGAGGGGATACAAAATTCAATATCACTTCAGCCTTTTTCGCTGCTGTCATATTGGAAAAACCTGCGGATGTTAGCCAGAAATGACGAAAAATCTAGAAGTTGTTGCTGTTAGCTGCCGAACTCTGTTTCTTTTGGTGGAGCATTATTAAATGATCAGGAGGAAAGAAACTTGAACACGCACCACACTTTTCAGGCGTCCAGTGTGAACCTGTCTTATTATGTAATGGAATTAAATAGCATCCTTTCGTTTTGATCCTATACTGATGAAAGCAAAATGCAGTACTGTGTCTTACTTCTCCTATTCTTGTCTTTCTGTATTTCTGCCAGGTTGAGGTGGACTGGGAGAAAGTCCAGGCGAAGATAGAGATGGAGTTGTCTAATGAGAGAGAGAAGGCTGCTAACAGCTCTGTGAGGAGCAGCGTGGCCTCACGACGTTAATGTTCAGTGGACCTTTCTTCTAAAATTCTACTTGCATAACATGGCTACGAAGCATTAACTTCAAGATCATTTGGAGATGTGAAGATTAGAATTGCTCTGATGAATATGTTGTTGACTTTGGCTCTTACACTAAAATCTTGTGGGTTGTGCTGTGTAATGTAAAACATTGGCATTCTGTTACCGCCGGCTGGATGATTTTGACTTCTGATAAGAGTATATACACTTCGCAGAGACTACAACATAATGGCCTTTCCGTCATCAGCTTCAGAGTGATTTCAGTGTGTCAAGTTCAAATCTGAATGTTATCTTTTACAGTTGTCGAGAATTACTTGATGTGCTCAGTCATGCAAAGATGTATTGCTTTGTTTTTTCAGTGATGTATGATTGATTGATTGTGTGTTTTTATATGGATAGATATTTTTACAATTTATATATTCAACATTTTGCCTCGTGTAAACACTAAAAAGAGTTCAGTAAATAAAACTGATGGAAATAATGTATACCTTTCGCCGAATGACCCTCTTTTACCTTGCTCTTTCTCTATTTTTCATACCCTTTTAATGTCTTGATGCTTCACTGGATTTGTATACAGAGATCATAGAGTATCTTTGAAATGTTTTTTTCAGCTTCACCCACAAGGTATTTCTGGGTACATGTGTGTTTTAGAGTTCAATACATCTACAGTATGTTCTTCTCTTTGAGTTATTCTTGTATTTCCTTTTCTGCTGAGGTGTGAAACCAAGTGATGGCATGAAGCTCAGCCCCCTGGTCGGCAGGAGGCCAGTACATCAGCGGACCATTATAGCCTATCCATCTCCTCTAGCCGCCCAGGAGGGACGAATGAGGGAGAAGATCTGGTCTAAGGGCTTTCCGAAAAAACAACTGCTCAACCATATCCCCCTGATGCGCGCCGACGTGGTAGAAATTGATCGTCCTATTGCCTGGAAATGTGAGTGGCCACTCGTAAAACATCAGAGACGGTAGATGTAGGAAAATCTATCAATGGGTTATTCTCTCTTGCTGTTTCTTTTTTTATCAGCACTGTACTTTTGGCTGCTTGTAGCCCAAGTTTCTCTCTGACTCACTTTCTTCTTCATATTTTACTCCCTCCATCCGCTTTCTTTGGAAGCCTATACTCACTGTGATAAACCTACTCCTCCGGGCCAAACAACATTAATTTATGAAAGGACTTATCAGCGGTGAGTCATATTTCACTTGCATTACCACGAGAGAGGCCACACACACTGACAAATCTAAATGAACAATGTGTTGTATTTATACTTTTTTTTTGTTGCATTTTGGTAATTAATTCATTAAAATAGAATACAATTCTAAATAAACATTCTTAGCCTCAACTGTAAATTAGGAATAAAATGGTCCAATTAGATTTCCAATCTTTACACTTTTGACTCTCAGTGCTATTTACTGAACAGCAAATAGACTTTTACCGCATTTCATATCTTTGAAACTACACAGAACAAAAAAATAATCAGATATTATACTTTTATTAAACCACTGAGCTGTATATCCATGTACAATGACTTGCAAGTTCTCAGAAATGAGATTGATGGCCAAACAATGAAGCTCACCTACAAAATACACTTAGTGGATAATATTTATGAGGAGGTTAATGCTCATTGATTTGACCTTTATAGTTGATCCGTTCTTTGGTCCAGTGACTCCCTGACGCAGTTTACAATGTTGCTTGTGCCCTGTGTATTTTTCCCTGTGTCTGTCAGTGTGTGTTTGTGCGTGCAGTATATGTTTTGATTTAAGGAATAGAAACCAAATATATCACTGTCCTCTCCTCTGACAGTGGATGTCCCACAATATCTGATTCCTGTCTCATGCTGGGAACTGTAGGAGACTGGATATGCCCTCTGCTCCTCAACCCACTTTTACAGTTTAGTTCATAATGAACTGCGATAGCTCCAAGGACATCCTGAAGTGCAAAATGTACACCTTTTTATGGTTTGAGTATAGGACTTTCATATGGCTTTATGCATCTAAAAGTCACATACTCCCACCTGATCTACCCATTTGTGGGCTTTAGGCATGGATTTATGCTTTTAAGTGCAAACTACAGCCACCCACAAATATCCCTCGGGAAAGGAAATCCATCAGTGTTCACTATTGGCTTTGCCATCATGGTCTGGCAGTGTCAGATTACTCACGCCACCACAATCCCACTCAGACTTCTAGTGTCGGGAGCATTAGAGAAGCTCAAGGCCTCTAATTGTGAAGACCACGGATAAAAATGCTTTAGCAGCAACTTTCTCTGTATTTGAATAGCTAAACTTGGCCAAAATTGAAGTTTATTGGTGAAGAAGAGTGCTTTGATAAAATGTCAGTTATTACACTCCCCAAACAATATGCATTTGGCTTTCTGATGGCAGATTTCATAAGGTGAAGGTGACTGGTTGCTTTAAACGCAGTGATTCACAGTTAAAGGAACATTAAAGACAGTGTAGATTAATAAAGCTTCACAGTTTATATACTAACAGCACTTAGGTAAATAAGTTGGTGTATATATTTGCCCTCGATCGAAACATTTTGTTTTATGTAACTGAAGTTAGAATAAAGGAATTTGCAACTATTTTGATTATTGTTTAAGGATGAGAATATAATGTTTACGTCATTTGTTTTACAATGTCTGATTGTAATTGACTTGACTTCTACTTGTTTGGCCTGGGACATGAAATGTACTAATGTTTTTCAAGTCTGTGTTTGAGAGAACGAAAGACAAATGTGACCATTCTCACATGTCAAATTAAAGTGACAATGACAAAGGAGCTTTTTCAATATACAATAATGAGGCATTTTAATGGAAAGTTAAATACACCCTTCAAACTTTAATCTTGGTAAACAGGCCATTTAGCTTGATGTAATGAGGTGTGTGTGGTGTCAGTTTGGTTTTCAATTTTCCAGAACCCCAAAAATATATTTTCTTATTAGACAGTGATGCAAACCAGCAAGTAACAGTAACACATACATACAAATGTATATGGTATTCTCAGTCCACTTTACCAGAACAAAGAATGGACTGCCTCCTGTCTCTGATAGATCTCATCTGTCTTGTCCTTCGTTTGGTCTGAGCTGTATAGGGTCGTGTTAGTTCTACTTGGGACAGCAGTTGTGACCTTGTTTGACTTGCTAACATTAAAACACAACTTTGGAAGCTTACACCATATCACATGGCGGCTGTAATATTTGTCATAGCTTTACTCATTTTAGAACCTAGGAGATACTAATATCTAGCAGCGGACACATGGTTCACAGCATCAGAGCATATAAAAAAAAATTGCACTTTTCTAGCTCTTGCTGTAGGCGACATGGCTCAGGTCACTGATAAAATACTAATTTATAATTTCCCTCTGAACTGTGTGAATGTGCTTGTGTGTGAGGCAGTTTGAGGAAAATATTGCTTTCATGCTGATGAAATATTTTTAAATGAAATGGCTCTAAAGCTGGCTGATAAGGAAAACTGCAGAAAGTATTCAAATTGATATTCATCCCCTCACTCCCTACTTCAGCACACATTCCAGGGTATGGTGGGAAATACAAATCGAAATATTATTCCTTTTGGTTGCACATTCAATAAAGAATATATAAAAGAAAACCAGGTATTTTCGGGTTCAGCAGAACATTTAACAAAGAAAAGCCGATAATTTGACATAGGCTAAGAATAAAACCGTCTCACAGTGCTGCTTAAAATGAAGGTGTTGAAGTAAATCTTAATGCGATTGTACCGGAGCCAAATTAGCTGTCCCTGCCACAGAGACCTTCAATTTCAGCCGCCTTCGCTTTCTTCATAATCCCCTTTACTTAACCCAGGCGGTCATTTGCATACAAAAGGCGATACATCCGCCATAATCTTACAAAACACGTACATTTTCTCAGCCTTCTTCTTTATTCTTAACATTCAGGATTATAATTGCACTTGAGTTTATATCTCTGCAAGATAATTACCCTGATAATATTAAAATAAGAGTGCTATATAGTCTCTAGCTTTGCCCGGGCTCAGACTCAGACAGAGTTCCGGGATGTCCTCGGGCTGTGTTGCGGTGCAGTCTCCTCGAGGACTTCCCGCCTCTGCTCCGCGGCTCTCGGTCCCGCCGCTCTCGGTCCCGCCGCTCTCGGTCCCGCCGCTCTCGGTCCCGCCGCTCTCTCCCTGCCCTGCCCGATACTCTCGTTTTCAGACAGCAAGTTATCGTCGGACCGGTCTCTGTGCATCTCCTGCATGCTTTCCTCATACGTGGGCAAATATTTGACCTCGTCGTATGCTGGCAGGTTCGGAGAGGCAAAGTCCCCGAGGCTATACTCGGGGTATCGGTCCAGTAGGGAGTCCTGGGACGCCGATGCGTGCCCGTGAAAGAGGGAGGGCTCATCACTGCGGTCATTGTGCGGAGGCCGGCGGGGCCGCGGGCAGATGATCCTCTGAATGAAGTAGCCCATGGCGAATAGCAGCAACAGGATGAGGATGCCGGACAGCTTCCGCGTGAACCAACCTACGTTGTCGAAGAATATGTGGATAGGGAGCTTGCAGCAGCGCACCGCGGAGTTGGCACTGCCGTTCCCGTTGGCGATGGGCGGACAGCACTGGTGGCCATCGCCGCACTGGACCTCCCCGCAGGTCCGGAGAGCATGACAAGCGGAGACCAGACACGCCGACAAAAAGGTGCCAGTGGTCCTGCACGTTATTCTGCCGCCGCCTGGCAAACAAGACGAGATCATTGTGGGGTCTCCCGGGATGGAAAGAGGCCTAATGGACGTGTTGCGTCTCCCGTGCGTGCTAATATTATAAGTCCGGTCAGGTGTTACAGGTCTGCCTTTCCTTCCAGCTGTACACTTTTAATATATGCTACTCTCATCACAGCCAGTGCAACGCGGGACAGCAGGTGCCCCCCCTCCACTGAGGAAGACCTGTCTGCTGTTATATGGTCGATATGAGTGGAGGAGCAGCATCAGTGTCTGTTTGAGCACTGATGGGAATCATGAATAGGCTACTCTTACATCATTACACGTATGGATGGTCATTAACAGTCTAATGAAACCCATATTGCTGGTCCACAGCATCTGAGATTGTCACTTTCAATCAATCAATCAAAGTTTATTTATGCAGAATATCACACATTTTACATTTGTCTCAGTGGACTTTACAGTCTGTACAGAATGATTGCAAATATGACATCCTCTGTCATTGGACCCTCAAATTGGACAGGAAAAAAACCTTTAAAGAAAACCCCAAAGTTAATGGGGGAGAATTCCCTCTCCCAGGACAGACAGATGTGCAATAGATGTCGTGTGTAAATTAAACCTCTTTCAACTTTACCTGAACTTTCCTGCCCAAGAGGACACAAGTGCAGGTGGTTTTATTGTGACCCCAAATAAAACAACCCCCACTCGGAACAATGCATGTTTTATGCAGAGCCATAATATCAATCTTGTTTGATTAAGGAATTCTGTACATTTAGGGGGAATGACCATATGAGTGAGAAATCTACAGTATAATAGTCATCATTCCGCAGTGGTTGAGGGAGGATTGAGATCCTTAAATATAAATATTATGTAAACATGAACAACTATCTACCAAATTCCAAATCTACAGCACTAGCAAGCATTTGGGATTTCATTATGCAGGTCTGAGGATGCTGCATAAACAATGAATTGGGAAATATGGTAAAGATAACACAAGAGCAGCCAGTTAATTGTTAACTGAGGTTACAGGGATAGTTTATTTGATGGAACACTATAATAGATTAAAGCTCATTCTGGAATTGAAATTAAAACAAACATTCTGTGATCAAAATCAGTCCTATACATTTATTGTCTATGGAGCCGTTTCAGACCTAATACTTGATGACATCACAATTTAAGACTTCCTTCTCTGCCTTCTGGCTTTGAAAGAGAGAAGATCATGTTCACGAATATTGATTAAACTTTAATAGGCCATGGAAATGACATATGGCCATTATTAATTAAAGAGGTTTCCCCTTTTTAAAGCATCAAAAGTAAAAATAGGCCCTACTCATCTAGCAAGAAAGTAGTTCCCATTAGGGAATTAGCTTAAATCATAAGACTATTATGTCTGATGCTTTAACGTGTAAGTATCCTTTTGCCATTGTATTTGGATTAGGTGAAGCTAATTTGAACTGTTTTATATAATGGTGATCTTTAACAGTGCCTATTGTGTTTTAAGATCCTCGTATAAAACCTTAATTTGTCAGGTAACCTTTTTAATAACAAAACTGTCAAATAATTGTAGTGGAGTCAAAAGTATCTCAAATCAAAGTAGGCTATGTAAAAGTACAGTACTGTAAATGTACTCAAACTTCATGCAAGTCCCCAGATCCGACTTCATGATCCATCGGCCCAAAACGCTGAACAATGCTTAAAGCTTGCAGCTTACTGAATCCTGTACGAACATGATGACTTTCACCAATATGAGGCGCCGACAGATCTACCCCTCTCATAAAAAATGAATAGATCCTGCAGTGTGGTTTGTAATGGCCCCCATTAGAAGAGTGTCTGGAATCACATCGGTCAGCCATCACCGAGAGGACCATGTGTCTGCAGCATTTGAGAACATAACCATAAAACGAAATCTCCAGTTGAAATGACAGTCTCCTCGCCCAACGTGTTAATTTACACTAAAGATGTCTCTGGATAACATCCAACTATGATAGATGGCTTAGTAAGCTGCTCTACAATAACAGCATATTAACTGATTTATTAAACCAGTCTGCATACTTTGTTGTATTGCAAAATAAATCTGACAATGTGAATACTTTTCTACAGGCACACGGAGGGACCAAGGTCACTTTCAAAGCTGTGTGTCCTTATGGGATCTGAAAGGATCCGAAGGAAGGATTTATGATAATGGGAGTGAACAAAGAACACTTGTTACTTTATTTCCAATAAATCACTGATCTTTGTAATGAGATTTGGCCTCGACAGTCTTTTATCCAGTCCTCATGGTGTAAATCATGCATGGAATCTTTTTAAATGACGGGAACATTTCACCCCCTCCTGTCTTCATGTTACTCTTTGTCACTAATAGCCAGTCTATTTTTATTTTTTTTCCTAAACAAGGCCTAATGCACAAAACACTAAATCTAATTACTGGAGCATTATGACGTGAAATTCAGTAGAAGGGTAACATCATGCAACCTAATTTATGCAGCATCGTATTTCTTTCAGTAATCTGCCTCGATTAGGGAAACATGATCTCAAGGCACTCTTCTAACCGAATAAACAAATACACAATCAATAGCCTGTGGACATTGGCTCTGAGAGAAACCCTCGTCAGTTCCTTTGTTATGAGGGCTTTCCCAGCACTTTTGCTATTCTACTGCTTATATAGGCTCCTATTGACTGCTATTTTTAAACACAGCTTTGACTGCTGTGACTGGAAAATGGAAAAATGCTCCAGAGTATAGAGAACAACGTGAGGCTATTAACCATTTCAATCACATCCAAATCCTACCCATGTAAGCAATTATGAAATAAGAAGTCAAATAAAAATTAACTGTGGCAAATGTTAAGTATAACTGACAGTATATTACATAGTCATATTCCCATTTTAAACAATGAATACAAATATGCCAATTTCCTTTTTCTCTCTTATTGGTCTTATTGCTCTGAATATTTCTTCTCCTCAAGTCTGTTTCCTGCTCACCACATCCTGCCCCTTTCCCCACTTTTACTGAAATCCTCCACAAAATTCTCTACCTCCTCCACTTCTTTGTCTCAATCCATCTAGGATCAACTTTGCGTCAAACACATCAAACTAATTGGAGACCAACTACATCCCAGAACGCATATTTACAGAAAGTTGAGTGTCATTGCTCTAACAGAAGTCATGTGACACCAGACACGTACTACTGTAGTTGCCGGTTGACAGATGTAGACAAGAACTGAGATGAATAGGCATCACAATTCACCAATGTAATCAAATGTATTATGCTTTATTGACACACAGAACAAATCTGTTACCACCAGCAACAAAAGAAGGGAACTGCTTCTGTTGCGTTTACTGACAAAATAATTTGAAGTTGCAGCCTCCTGTATGGCTAACAATTAAGGCGATAACACAGCGACTAGACTATATTACTGTTATAAATGTGCTGTGCTCTATGCTTCCATTAATCTGCTACAAAGGTCTCTTGTGTTATGCTTAATAATTCAGTTTTATGGGGTCCATTAGGCCTGGGCGATGATGAATGGCAGCGTTCATTTTCATGTGTCATGAGACGTTGATGTATGGACCGCCCAACTGTCAATGTCACGGTTATCGCGTTTGCATTAATTATGAAACAAAGAAGGCCTTGTCCAGCCTCAGGCTTTGTTAATAGACCCACTGATGGTTCTGGGTTTTACACTTTGTTGGCACGAGAGCAGAAGTCACGACCTCAGGGTTACTGCCCTGAGACCAACTACAGCCTGTTTAGCTTCTTTACGTACTGTATTGAAGGGCACCAACTGAACTTAACATGACGTGCCATAGTCATACAGCATTGTCCACACACACACACACATCTGAAATATATTGTGTTAGAACTTGTTACAACAGTTTTGTATTTACAGACTATGGGGGATATATGTTTTGGCCTGTTTATTTTGTTTGTGTGTCAGTTCTTTGCCCAGAAACGCAGGATACGAGTGTGGGTGTCATCAGTGTCTGTGTATTCCCATCCGTTTGAACTCTAATAAAAAGCAGGGCCTGCAGTCGATGTAGATTGTGTGAACCCAGAAAGTCCCACACCACAGCTATTTCACACCCACGTACTTCCTCTAATCTTATCGCTCTGCTGGCTCAGAGGTCTTTAAGTTTACGGGTTGTGTGTGTGTTGAGTATGGGGCATCTATATTTGTGTTTCACGTTGTTGTGTAGGTGTCGTTGTAATGGTTTAAGCATTTTTTTCACTAGATGATGTGGTTGAGTGGGACATGGCAAATGAAGAGAGAAGGGATGATATGTGAAACAGGTTACGGGACAGATTTCCTTTTAAAACTTTTCCTCAAGACTCAAAAGAGCAAGCGTATGGATGTGGTAAATTCTGGCAAATACGTTTTAAAGAAAGCGTTTAACTCTTACCTTTTATGTGGCTTGTTCTCAGAGCGTGCCGTTTTTGGCTTGAAGAAAAATGAGAATCTGACTTCCTTTGAGGAGAAACTTCCTCTAAGAGGCCAAAGATATTTAACAGAAGAGAGAGAGAGAGAGAGGGGGGGGGGGGGGGGGTAAAAACCTTTTTATGTCTCAGGGGAACAACTCTCAGTGCTCTTAATAAATCTTAGAGTTGGTAGGTTTATGCTGAGCTGGGCTTTTTGATTTTACAGTGAAAACTGTATAAGGCTGCCATATAGGCCCTAATACGCAGCTATCATTCAGAATGGTTTGATGGGTAATAGCACTAAGTGATTTGACTCAGCATTGTTGCTTTCTGTTTGAATAGAAAATGTATGTTGCCAGGAAATATTTGTATAGACATACAGTATATCAACTACTGACGTTTACCTCCTATCATTAACCAGCCTTAGATCTTAAACCTGGCTAATGTAACTGTCTTTGTAAAAAATGATGTATTAACTATAGAGGGACAATTCTTTACTCTTTATTACAAGGTGGGCTGTTTTTCGTTCAACTTTTTAAATATAATATAGCTGACAGCAGATGATGGGATTTCATTATTTGCATTTCACACAAATCAAATCCACACACTAAAACCTTTTAGAGACAGATTTCATGGGGCAAGTTCTCATCAGAGGGAGGTGAGGCTGGAGCATTTAAGGTCATTCACACAGCTTTTCCTAAACTGCTAAAAGCCTCCAACCAAGCCCCCAAAACAACGGCAAACTCATCATCCCCTATAAGATAAGCCGTCTACCGACACACAGCTGCATATGACTCAGTTACTGGGACTCACACACACACACACACACGTA